CCAAATTTCTATCGTAGGATATATCAGGTTAGAAGCTACCTGGCCACCTCCCAGGGAGATGAAGATGGAATCACTCTTCTGAGAAGAGTGTGAAATTGGTTTTTGTTTTAGAAAAAAAGGAAATTGTAAAAGTTCAGAGTAACTCTTGGGAATGTCCCAGTTTCACTTTCACGACATTCACTTATATTTAGGTATTGATGACAAATGGCCACGTGACAGAATAAACATATTTCCTCTAAAGGAAATACAAATGGATGAAGTGAAGAAAGAATGTAATAGGGACAGTTTATGATGTAGGGATAATTTCTAGTATCTATGCTAAGTGAAATATAGGACACCATCTCCCTGATGTTACTCATTTCCTCCCTAAGGCCTTCTGACACACACACACACACACACACACACACACACACACACACACACAACCTGTACTTCTCCCTTTCATTGCTTTCTCATTGTTGATTTAATAATGGATCAAAGAACTCAAATCTTTGTAATGGGCAACAATTTTAGCACTGGGCAGCTGAAGTAGAAATATTAATAATTTCAAAAGTTGGTGCTCAACCTCAGCAATCAGACTTCTTATTTTAAAAGAAAAGCCATTCTCTTTAGTTCTGTGATTCTATGATTCTCTTCTTGTTTTAGAAGATAATCTGATCCACACAGGAGAATGGAAGAGAGAAGGCAGTGGCTAAGAGTGGACAGAAGCAGTCAGAATATTACACACATACAGCAGCCAGGAAACACACTATAATGTGGTTAGACAGATATTTGTAAAGTCTCTAATCAAAAAGTTTCTAACAAAAGAGTCTATTGTGCAGAAAGTGTCCTGGTGTAGAGAAAAGATGTTTTACCTTCTCTTCTTGAATCTATGATGTAGATTTGACACTCACTCAGTTCTGCTAATAATTTGACCTTGAAATAATGAATTTATAATGTTTTCAAACCAGAAAATGTTCATGGGACTTGCTTCTTTGGGGACAATATCCCCAGTGACCCAACCTCTAGACATAAGATGCCTGGATATGCAAAGGGAATAATTAAAGGTTCTAATCTCTTTCCTTGTACCCTTCACCATTTCCTTGTTCCTCTCTCATTAATATACACAACTATAGAAGTAATATGACAATTTGTAACTTATTTAGCAAATACATAAAACTCAAGGAAAACTGCAGTGAGTGGAGAGGGAACTAGGAGAAAGAGAAGTGGAGGAGAGGAAAGCAGGTAAGACTAGGAAGATTAAGTCAGGGGAGGGAGACCATAAAAGAGGGAGTCATTATAGGTTTGAAGAGAAAACTGAACCTAGAGAAATGTCCAGAGACCTACAAGATTGACCCCAACTAACAATTTGAGCAATCATGGAAAGGTTACCATAAATGCCCTTCCCTGATAATGAGATTGATGACTAACTTATCCACCATCATGGAGCTCTCATATAGTAGCTGATGGAAATAGAAGCAGACACCCACAGCTAAACACTTAGCAGAACTGGAATCCAGATGGAGAAAGGGAGGACAAGACCAGGCTACAGAAACACAGAGACAGCTGACCTGAAAAAGGAGGAGCTAATGGGCCCCCAAACTGATAGCTGGGACTGACTCAGACCCCCTGAATATAGGTCTCAGCTAGAAGGCCTGGGCAGTCTAAGGGACCTCAGACAGTGGAACCAGGATGTATTCCTGATGCACAAAAGGACTTTGGGAGCACAACCCCCATGGAGGGATACTCCCTTAACCTAGAGACAGGAGAGAAGACCTAGTCCCTACTCTAAATTACTTGACAGATTTAGATGACCCCTCCTGGAAGGCATCACCCTACACGTGGAGTGAGGGGGATGGGAGGGGAGGGTGGTGAGGGGGCATGAGCTGGTGGGAGAGTAGGAAAGAGGGAGGGAGGTTGTGAGAGAGGGTGGGAGGGAGGTTGTGAGAGAAGGCTGGAGGGAGGGAGGGAGGAAAGAGGGGAGGGAGGGAGGAGGAACTGGGATAGATGTGTAAAATAAAAAGAAAAAAGTAATAAGACAAAATAGTTACTAACAAATGTAAAGAATATGATTGTATTTAAAAAAAAAATGACTACTAATACAGAATCCTTAATGATATCTTGCTTGTTCATCCTGGCTTGTTCATCACACAAGTGTGACTACATTTTAGTGAATTACACCCCTACAAGATGCCTGGTTCTTTTCTTATCCTTGGTTTGTTCTTGTTGTTATAGGGTTTGTTTGTTTTGTTTTGTTTTGTTTTAGAGACAGAATTTCTCTATGTAGCTTTGGCTGTCCTGGAACTCGCTCTGTAGACCAGACTGACCTCAAACACAGAGACCCACCTGCCTCTGCCTCCCCAGTGCTAGGATTAAAAGCCTGTGCCACCACTGCCTAGCTTCTTTTCTTATTCTTAAAAAAGACAAAATCTAGCAAATGGCACTGTTGATCTTTTCTTATTGTGAATGCAGAAACAGTTGGAACCTTCCCTCAATAAGATGTCTTTGTTGCATGGATATGGACCATTTGGGTATATGCCTAAGAGTGGGATTGCCTGGAAGGATGCTTATATCTAATGCTAACAACATAAAGCAAATCATTGAAACCACAACCCAGAATCCATGTGGTTGGGAGAGAACAAAATCACTCAAGATATCTTCTAACCTCCACAAACTCTCTCTCTCTCTCTCTCTCTCTCTCTCTCTCTCTCTCTCTCTCTCTCTCTCTCTCTCTCTCTCTTGCACGCACGCGCGCGCGCACACACACATACACTAATGAATGTAAATGTTTTTTAAAGGTGACCATAAATGCTTTTATTAGATACTGCTCAATTTCTCTATGTCACTTGTAACTTCTTGTGTTCTCAAAAAATTGTCAATAAGGTCATTTTTACTCATAGTTTTATTAATGATTTATTTGTTATTGTACAATGAAATGCCTCAGATCTTTTTTTCTAGTGAATCTAAATATAAACTCTATATAGAATATATGGCACAGTATTTGAAGACTCTTCACAGATAACACCTGCAAGCAGAAAGGGAAGCACAGTACAAGCGACCACTGGAGACCAAAGTCAGATCACGTGCTTTGTGTTAAAGCTGTTACTGTTTGACTTTCAAAATGGCGGAATGTGGAGCAAGTGGCGGCGGGAGCGGCCGGGACAGCTGGGACAAGAGCATCACGCTGCCCCCGGACGAGATTTTCCGCAACCTGGAGAACGCCAAGCGCTTCGCCATTGATATAGGCGTTTTGCCCGTGCCTCTTGATGCCAGCGTGGTCAGTAGGGCCCACACAGCAGGGCAGCATCCGCTCGCTGTCTTGGACTTAACTCCGTGAATAAATGGCTGTGCTGCTGCCTCCTAGCCTCCGTTAAAAGACTTGAAATCTCTATTTCTGGAATACCGAATATGTTCTCTACACTCATACTTTTGGGTTGTCTCTCCGAGGTGCCCTTTCTTGGAACGAGGAAGCAAAGATAACCCGGTCTGAGCTCCCACTTTGTCAAGGGCTCAGGAGAGTTGGTGATGGGGGAGTAGGCACTAGAAAAGATTCAAGTAACACCTGAGATAAATTGGTGACTGCGTGGATGTTGGACTGGAACTGGCGAACTTACAGGCCCAGCAGAAGGGAATGTCCACAACCAGACCAAGCCAAAGGCCCCAAGGCAGCTGCCCCCAGGCTTCTGGAACCTTTTCTCCAGGGCTAGATTTTATGCTTTGTCCTGTGGTCTGACACTTGTTTGTTGGGAAGAAGTCATATGTTTGAAAAGCAATTGAAAAAAAAAAAAAAAAAAAAAAAAAAAGCTGTTACTGTTTTATCCTAATAATTAATTAAATAGATAAGGATTTTTAATATTCTGAAATATAGTGCAGCACACAGTCATTTATAAATAATCCCCTCATTTTTATCATCTCTTGTTTGCTAATTTGTTTGGTCTCTCCTTAGTTTTGGTGTGGAAGCCTATTTTTGTGTGTGGTGTGGTTAATGAACCCATTTATTCTATTCATTCCTCTTTATTAAACAGCAGTCAGACTGGTAGTCTCCTTAGCATGTTTCCTCAGATACTGTAGGTGCTGTTTACATATTTCAATTCTACATTACTTGATTCTAATTTTGGATGTTATATTCCACTGTGCACAGTGTATTTGATGCCTTTTCTAAAATTTTAGGATGCCTGTATTTTAGTATCAGTTAATTCTTATTGCTCCTGTATTTTTTCTATTGTCAAGTATTTTCTAGCCACTTTGACCTTTTAAAAAATGAGTCTTACCATTAAAAATACCCTCAATATACTGTAATTCCGTATAGCAATATAAGCGCAGTATGAAATGTCCTTCTCAGAATTTTGAGCAGAAATCTGGGTAACATACAAAATAATCTTATCACATCAGGAACATGGAAGTAAATAAAAGTAAAATTCAAGTTTATTCCAAATTGACCACAAATATAACTGTAAAATTAAATTGAAGGCATCTAAACTAATTCTACCAGGATTAGTCCAATACTAAAAACCAAACCTGTAATGTATGAAAATATTATTACATCCTTAAAAACAAGAAAAGAAAAGTGGGTGTTAAGTATGGAAGGGGGCAACTCAAGAGGAGGTCTTCCCAGGAGAGGGTACACCAATTTGTTGGTCATAGACAAAAGGTCAGTCTTGAAGCATACGTACAACTAACATTATATGAATTTAACAGTAATATTTAAAAAACATATACAAACATGTATAGAACTATATGAATATACATATATATGTGTGTATATATATATATATATGTATATATGCAATAAATAAAATCAGTGAAAAAAAGAGGCCATCGTGTTGAAGGTTTTGAGGGAAGAAAAGAAAGGGATAAATGTTATAATTACATTATAATTTAAAAAATTAAAAAATACAATCAAACTAATATCTACTCAATATCAAGTATGGCACAAATACCTTTTAAAATCATACAAAAATGAGAACAGCTTTTATCAGATAATGAAGATAAAGCTGTGAAGACAGATTATGACAGAAAGCTTATTCTCCAGGACTGTGAATCCCTTGTGTCAACACCTTTCTCAAAGCCACTTTTACCTCTTTGTTTCTCAGGGAATATATCAAAGGATTAAGGGAAGGAGTAACAATATTATTCAACACTTGAACCACTGAATCCAGCCAAGGACTGGAGGCAGGTCTGAGGTAAATGAGGACCACAGGGCCATAGAAAAGCAGAATGGATGTCAGGTGGGCACTGCAGGTGGAGAAGGCTCTGCGCCTGCCTTCAGAAGACCGAATTTTCAAGACAGAGGTGACTATGCGAGTGTACGAAGTGAGAATAAGAAAGAAGCACACAAGTGCAACAAGACCTACATTGATGAAGCTCACAGCCTGTGCCAGATAAGTGTCTCCACAAGCCAGGGGCAACACTACAGGGATGTCACAGAAAAAGTTGTCTACTTCATTGGGTCCACAGTAGGGTAACTTGAAAATTAGGAATGTGAGAACAGATGCATGTAGACAGCTCCCCATCCAGGTGGCCACAGTCATGGAGGCACACACCCATGAACTCATGATGACTGTATATCTCAAAGGGTGACAGATGGCTGCAAAGCGGTCATAGGCCATCACAGTATACAGGAAGCATTCAGCACAGCCCAGGAAATCGTAGAAAAAGATCTGGGAGGCACAGCCCTGGTAAGAGATGGTGTGGCTGTGTCCAGTGAGGTAGAGCAACTCACTGAAGGGAAAAATATATCAAGCACTGACAGGTTTCCCAAGAAGTACATGGGTGTGTGAAGGTTGGAAGAGGTGAGGATGGCCAGAAGAATGAGTAGGTTTCCTGGAAGAGTAAGCAAATAGAAGGCCAGAAAGAGGACAAAGAGCACCATTTCTAGCCCAGCTGTATGTGGGATTCCCATCAGGAGGAATTCTGTTACTGAAGTACAGTTTCTCATTTTCAAGTTTACTTACTCCTGGAAGATGAAAGGGTTGACCACTTAGCTGAAATTCCCAAAGAAATTAAAACCATTTCAGAACTCACTGGAAACCTATTATTGGAAAGAACTTTCAAAAAGAGATTTTTGTCTAATTCTGCCACTAATTAATATTTGGTAGTGAATTCACTATTTATTTACTTTCAACTCTTCCCTAAAATGTAAAGTGGTGAATTTAAATTTAGAATTTAGCACCAAATAGACAGTATAGAGCAGTAGTTTTCAACCTTCCTAATGCTGTGACCCTTTAATACATTTCCTCACATGCAGTGACCCCCAACCATGAAATTATATTTGTTACTACTTCATAACTGCAATTTTGTTACTGTTATTAATCATGATGTAAGTACCTGATATGCGGGATATCTAAATGTGACCCTTGTGGAAGAGTTGGTTGACTTTTTATCAGGTTGAGAACCACTCATACAGAGTAACACATCAACACCTTACTATGGATCCAGACAGTTTTGTCATATATCTCTGAATTTATTTTCATTCTCTCTGAGGGATACTAGTAACTTAAGTTTCTTATCAGGCATAAAGTTTTGATGTCCATAAAATATCTATGCAATTTTGTCCAAACAATCTTATTTTATTAATAATTAATAATTCAAAGGTCTAATATTCTGTGGAAAAAAGGGCTTTCAGCATAAACCATGGCCACATAGTTTAAATATCCTTATAGGTGCTTGATTTTTAAAACCTCCTTGTTTTCTTCAGAGTCAGTACAACTGAAAACTGAAACCTACGTGGATGCATAAGAGAACAGAAGACAAAACATAATACTCAATATAGGGAAAAGCCAGTATTATGAACTGCTTCAATACATAGTTTATGTGTTCTCAAAAGCCATGGTCCTGCTATGATTATATGCTATCCATATGAGTATTTGTAAGGCATATTGTCATCATTCATATCATAAATGGTACATAAAGTGACTTGAATATGCAAGCTTAAATAGAGCTAAGTAATCATAGGCTCTTATTCCTTCTAGAAGACATACACTGCAGAAGAGAGGATGCTAAGAGAAGAACACATTCCAGAAAACAGGCACTTACACAGTTTAGCAGATTATAGTAGAATAGGGCTAAAAACCCTGCCCACATCTACCCTCTGCTGTTGGGATGAAAAAGAAAAACTTGGCTATGAAGCTGGGGTTGGGGGGGGGGTGGGATCTTCTTAACCTGAGACCCAACTGGTGAGGCCTAGAAGCTGTGATCCAGCAGGACTCATGCCCTGATTGAAAAAGCAGCCCCTAGCCAGACACTAAGGAGGAATATATGTTATTTCCTTTGGGTCTCCTTTGGGAATCTCTTCCTGATGATCATGATAGGAAAGTGTAGAACAGAGGGATCAATTAGCTATGAAAATCTCTGCTTTTGTTCCTTCCATCTAGTCTCTGCATTTTTTTCACATGCTCCCTAGAGTAGGATGTACTCACCTAGTGGTTGTCAAGTCGGCTATTCACATAAAGCTCCTTTATTGCAAATCCTGAGTTTTCCCTGGAGGAATGCCACCCCTTGGGCTCAGATGTTTGCATTACTCGGTTCTTTAGGGATCCAGATTAGATAAAAATGGAAAATGACTAAAACTGTACTGATTTCAAGAAAGAAAAAAAAAAACACAACCTATTGTATAACATTTTGCTGTGGGTTCGAAGAGAAATATTCCCATGGACTCATATTTGAATATTGGGTCTCTGGTTTGCTGTTTTTGTAGGGAGACTGTGGAATCTTTAGGAGATATAGACTATGTGGAATTAGTACTTCACTGGGAGAGAACTTTGAAGTTTATAGACTCATTCTACTTCCTGTTCTCTGTCCACTGCTTTCTGTGTGGAAATGAAATGTGATCAGCCTGCTTCCTGCTCCTTCTACCATGCCTCCCCAGTCATTATGGACTCTGTCCCTTTGGAACTGCAAGGCAAAATAAAGTCTTTTCATTTCCAATTTACTTTTACCAGAATACTTTATCACCATATCAGAAAAGTGACTAGTACACTTTATTATACAAAACCTTTTATATAATAACCAATTACTATTTCTTTAAATCCTTGAATTCATGTATTATTTCTTGCCTGAAAGCACTTCATTTAAATTTAAGACAACTATTTATATTTATCTGGGCATATTTTAATTATTTTAATGGACTTTATGGAAACTTTGGTCAAACTATGAAAATAGTTGTGTAACTATTATGGGGGTAACTAGCTGCCTTTTGATTGGATATGAGCCCTACTTTACAAGAAGGAATTCATGCCTGTTACCTTAACCTAGTCAACAACTCAACATTGAGGAGAACATAATCCCAAAGTGGGAGCCTACTGTAGTTCTTTACTAATATGGTCAAACTGCCTTCTAAATATTTATGTTGCTGTCCACAGATTTCTACTACTTTTAGCCTTGGTCAGGCTTCTTTTTGGAGTAGACAGTAGTTGATGCAAAAATGTATAAGTAGTCAAAAAACTGAGCACAACTGACTGTGAATGTTCAAACATAGAACAACATGGTTTTCAATCTCCCCAATTCACCAAATTCAGGGGACGTTATTGAAGAAGAGGCAGAATGAATGTAATAGGCAGGGGATGTCAAAGCATGCTGAAATTATGTCTTCTGGACATTATATGGATGTTCAACATGTGAACTCAAAGCAGCCTGATACCTATATAAGACTTACACAGATAAAACCACTTAAAACTCAAGCATGAACAGTAAGACAGTCTCAGTTCCCCATAACTAGCTAAGAAGCTACAGGGGACAATTCAGAGCTGCTACAGAAGGAGATAGGCTTCAAATCTCATTTTCAGTATATGCTAAATGGTTAGAAGAACAAATGGTGTCTACAACAACATACAAATGGCTCTCATAGGCATATGTCTTATTCTAGGTGTTTCGGTAGTAAATAATAATAATCAAACTAGATGGTTATAATCATGAATTATTTGATTAAAGGTTGAAAATAAATTCTGAAATATTACAAAAATAAATAGTAAATGTTGTTCATGTTTTGTCTATTAATTTAGTTCTATTACATTTAAGTAATGATGAGTAGTTATGAATAATAGGAACTTCTAGCTTTATAACATTCTTTACACTGTAGTTTTAAAAAATTTATTCTCCTTGTTTGTGGAAATAGATTGATAATTATCTTCTTATATAACATAAAAGGAAAGAATCCCAGCAGAAGCTGTCACTGATAGCCAAAGGACAGAATTGTGAACACAAATATTTTATAAGAAGGAGAAAGACAAAATGAAGGAATTTGCCAGCAGAGTGTTGTCAGGTGAAAAACATCCAGAATGGATTAGCATTGGCTCATAATACTGAGGCTGAATTTCAGTGGCCTTTTAAAACAGGGTAATAGATGCCTAGGATTTTCAAATGAACCTTATGTACAGACTTCCCAAGGCATGTTTTGGCCTTAGAGGTTAAAATGGTCTCTGAATTTTGATCTGAAATTAATTAGCTGTTGATTAGCTGTTGTAACCATTCCATGAAGCCATCAAACAAGAACCACACAAGTAACATCTCACACTATCACATTTCAGTCTAAGTGCTCTGTAAATTGTTCTTATCTGGTAGTCATTTTAGTTCTTTCTTTTAAGAAGTATGTAATTTTTAAAATCAACTTTGAATGGTTAAAATACTGTGGCATGGATGCAAATATTTCAAGAAAAGGAAAAAAGATGGATGCCAAGAATGCTTAATCAATGAACTTCTAGTTTAACAAATCCCAAGAATATTGATGGTGAAATAATAGTTAACTGGCTGAAAAACATTGTGTCCATCTAAAAACTTAAAGTGGATAGGATAGGATGGAAAACTGATTATTATCTATTTTCCAGTAACAAAAACATGAAACTCATCAAGACAAGATGACAAAGCCACACTATGATGCAGCCTTTGCATATGGTCCCACTGTTGCTGAGGGCCCTGGGGTGATCTATGAGAACATGAGCTCAATACACCTTTTCAGGGTCTGGATTCTTAATAAAATTGATTCCTTTCACAACAAAATTTGTGTCCTGGTATTAGCTTTTAAGTGAGGACTAGTCACACCAGGTATATCCATCAAATCCCACTGTTTCTCAAGAGTGCCTGAGTACTTGATTGTGCATATTTTAAATTTTACACAAGAGTTACAACTCATAACAAGAAAATCCGCACCTTGAACTTGAAGCAAAACATGGCATGTTATCAGACAATAGAGAACATTGTTCAGAATATTTGGACTTTGTTTCTCTTATAGATCATTTCTTTGTTCTAAATTTGGTGATTATCATAATTGACAAGATAAAGATGCATTTACTAAGTTCAGTCCTAGTTTCACCTTATTAATAGTGATTAGGTTAATGGAGTAACCAAAGTGACACTTAGAAGAATACAGAAAGATATTTAAAAGGAGGAATTAAAGGGAGCATAAGGTAATCCATGGCTTCAGGGAAGGTACAACTTCATAAAAACCATACACTGAATTCCACCCACACATAGATGTTGCAGAGCAGAAAGATTCGTTGTTTGGCAAATTACAATGAAAAATACTGGATTAACCTGAAAAGTCTTCTCTATTGGGTGAAACCCACAAAATAAACCCTGCCTGGTGAGGACACCCAAGAATTGAGTTTACTAATATGTGAACATCAAACAGATGGGTAGCAATAAATGCAGCAGTATGGGAAAGAACAGTGATGAACAGTCACCTTTCAAAACACACATCATTTTATATATATATATATATATATATATATATATATATATAAAATGATTTCACAACTGCAAGACTTAGAAGAACCACAGGAATAATGAGTAGCAGCCATAAACTATGTAAAGAAGGAATAATGGCCAGCAGCCATAAATGTATGTAAAGAAGGATGGAGGTTTAATTTTTTGTTATTGTTGTTTTGGGGGGAAGTTTTGTTTGTTTGTTGTTTTTTGTTTTTTTGAGACAGGGTTTCTCTGTAT